ATTAAATAACTTAACAAAATAGTACAAATAAAGAATAAGTTAATTGAAATATGCCGCAAACCAAACGTATATATGTAAATAATCAAGTTATTACATTTTTAATACGATTTGCATGACTATAAACAATATATTTAAATGTGTTAGGCCTATGTTGTTATACAGTATTTACTATGGTTTTATAATTTATATATTTTTATTTTTGTACTATTTGTTAAACTTATATATAATAAATAATTTAATTAAATAATTTAACAAAATAGTACAAATAACGAATAAGCCGCAAACCAAACGTAAATAAACACATTTTTAATACGATTTTGCAATTATACAACTTCATTTATTTTTATAAAAATGTAGTACATAAAATTACATTTTTAATACGATTTTGCAATTATACAACTTCATATATTTTTATAAAAATGTAGTACGTAAAAATATCAAAATTCTAATTTTCAATTACACAATTATACATCACGAACGGCAATACGAGCAAATCAACGACTGACAAGACTGTGGGATGAATATGTAGCTGGTATCCGGGGGGTTCATTCACTGATGACATCGGCAAGCTGACTACATTCACTGTGAGACGCTCTTGACGTTCCATAGAAATTACCGGCGGCTCAACTTGTCGGCGGCTCAACCGGTCATATCTCTTTTAATGATGATCCGTTCAGACTGCCATCGACAATCAGTTGACGGGTTTCGCATCTTCTAGAGAGGGGAGTAAAGATTCGTCGTACGACGCAGTGAGTGACAGGCTTACTAAGGCAGATGCTGATGTTCCAACTTTTGGAACTCAAATTTCAGGAGACTTGAAGTACACTGGTGAGGATGTTCAAAAAATGACATACTGGAGGGTGAGTGGTGCTACGCAAAGTTATTTATATCACTTTACTGTATGGTGATGATAATGTACCATTGCATTGTTTTTTTATCGCTGTGGATATAATTCTCGCGTTTCACAATAACGGCGCCCTCATTCGGTTTAAGTGCGAAAGTCGCTTAGCGTGTTGAATTCTGGGAAAAGGGTCAACAAAAGTTAACCGGTAGTAAATTAACACCAAGCGTAGGCAACAGGGCGGACCACATTCGTTATACTGTACATAACAATATGATTTTCACCTCAAATCACAACTTTCAAGTATGGTCAACACATGTGAAGCCGCAAAATGTTACTCACATAAATTGAAAAATCTTGTATAAATATCCTTGGATGGCTGATGTAACATTGGTACAATTTTCAAGGAATGATCGCCAAGCTATGGCGAGATGGAAGAAGTTGATACAGCCTGAATATCAATAAAAGATCTCGCCTCTGCTCTCAAGACACTTTGATAAAACGGACATGGATGCAAATGGATTAAGCTCTAAAAACTTGTCTTTATTTCGAACAATAGTCTTATCAAATCCATAGTATTTGCAAATGAAGAAATGCTTTATTATATTTTCATACCAGTATCCAGATGTTGAAAAAAAAAAAACAGAACTATTTCTGAATGGCTGAAATCTAAGTCACCAAATGAGCAGGCACGATATTTAGAACTCTGCCAAGACAATGTGGAACGTACAAAAAAAAGACAAAAGATGCGAGAGAGAAGTTCTAAAATGAATAAAAGAAAAACTTGAAGAGAGTAATAAGATGAAAGTTGAAAGAGATGTTAAGAAAAAAGAAAGTGACAGAAGCTTTAAAAAAGTATTGCAGCATGGCGGACCATGCTCTACAGTACATCTGATGATGTAAAGCGTGTTTTGGCTGGCAAGGGAAAGTGTTTAAAAATAAACATAATAAAAGATGAAATCAGGTATTTAAAAATGTTAGGGATTAAACATGATGAGATGAAATTTGTGGGCAAATCTTGCGATGAACCGGAAGAAAGCTTGAAATCTATTCTTGGTAACTGTACTGGCCTAAAGCGAACTGTACATACACTTTCTTCAGAAAGTGACAAACCATCTTCTTCCTCCTTATCTTCTTCCTCCTCATCTTCATTATCTTCTTCTAAAAAACTTACACCTTTTGTCTTCAGTGCTCATGGTGAGTTTGTTGCAGCAGTAGCTTATGAACAAAATTGGTTGGTAGGTTCTGTTATTAATGTTATCTCTAAAGAAGAGGCCACGGTTCAGTTTTATGTCAAGGGGAAAGGGGGAATTTTAAAATGACCTCTTTCTGATGATGTTGACACTATTACAGTAGTTGTCGTTTTGTTTTTAGGTCAAATCTTGACGTTTTGACCAATAATGGTAGAACTTATTACCTTAATGACATCAAATCCGTTAAGCAAGCCTACCGTGATTATCATTATATATATTTTTCTTTCAATGAAGATATCGATTCAGATTTGTAGTTTTCTCTAATCAACACCAATCTTGTTCAAAGCTACTTACGAGCGTAAAGTCTTCTTATGCAACACAACTTACTAAGCCCAAGCTTTCTTCCAGTTTATTCTGTAATAAAATTAATACAAATAATAATATAAACATTAGTTAAGCCTGTTCATTTTCAAAATTGAAAGCCGTTGACACCAGACCATATGGTCGCGCTCACTTTGTACCGTTTAGCAACTGGTGTAGCTTTCAGGACTCTTGCCAACCAGTTTGGTGTTGGTAGATCAACAGCCTGTACATCATGTTACCATGAAGTAATCAGGGCCATCGAGAGAGTGTTGATGCCAAAATACATCCGGTTTCCTGAAGGTGAAGAGTTATTAGTAAGTTAAACAAACATTTTTAAGAACTATTTATTTTCGACTTTTACTTTTTAAAATGTTGTTGTGCCAAATGAAATTGGAAAAATCTGTCATTTATGATTTCTTCCATCACTGAAAATTGTTTTATTATGAAATGTGTTCTTATTTAATTTTAACATTGAACAAATGAGATTATAATACATGTATGTTTGTGAGTGAGTGAGTGAATAAATTAATGCAGGAACTGACTGATGTTTGTTTACTTGTTTGAACCTTCATGTCTGATGTTGCTAGAAACATACAGTGCAGTATGTATTATTCTAAATTACAAATTCTTTAGGTAGACTTGTCTTCATAATTCATTTTTTACTTATTTTTAACACAGTACCATGTAGGTTTTTTGTTTCAATATGTTTTTGTAAATTTTGCATGATAAAGAAATGACGAAACACTTTTTATTTGTATTTTCAGCGGAATGTTGAGCAATTTAAAGATAAAGGCGGTTTCCCCCAAGTGGTGGCAGCAATAGACGGGTCGCACATACCTATAGTAAAACCAGATCTGGCCAATGATCAGAATGCCATGGACTACTTCAATAGAAAGAGTTTCTACTCGATTGTTCTACAGGCGTGTGTTGACGCCAGTGGACGCTTTTGTGACACATGTGGGTATGCCGCGGAGGGTTCATGATGCAATGGTTCTTCGTCACTCGTCTATGTATAACAAACTTAAGAATGGCTCAGCCTTTCAACCGAATTTAACTAAAGAAATTCAGGGTGTAGATGTACCACTTTTATTAATTGGAGACCCGGCCAACCCACTGATGACTAATCTGATGCGACCTTATTCAGGAAGGAATGGCTGACTCGCGACCAAAGAATCTTTAACTACAAAATATCGTCATACCGGTACGTTGTCGAGACTGCTTTCGGGAGGTTAAAGGGTCGTTGGCGAATGTTGCTGACCAAAAACCTCCACAATTTAGATTATCTAAGGCCCGTTGTGCAGGCGTGTTGTACCCTGCACAACATACTTGAGTCGGCAGGGACTCCATATAATACTGCCCTGGATGAAGGAGTCCCTGTAGAAGAACCACAAAATGACCCGTGGGAGTATAATCAGTCTCTTGTGGAGCAAGTACGGGAGGCCATTAAAGCAGAATTAATGAATTTTGTATGAACACTGATGGTCCTATGTATATATTTATTTATGTGGGAGTATAATATAATCAGGCTCTTGGGGAGCTAGTACGGGAGACCAAAGCTGAATTGATAAATTTTGTATGAACACTGATGGTCCTATGTATATATTGGTTTATTGTGAATAAATTTTACTTTTCATAAATGTTGTCTATGTAAATATTTACAGTAATGTAGCAGTACAGTTAAACTTGCGAAGGTTGACTGTACGTGCGCAAGTCAAATAATTTCTAAGTCTATCTTATTTTCCATTAACAATCTGCAAGTCAAATTTGATCAAAGTCAAACAATATTTCAATGGCATTATGGATTCGACTTGGACAAGTTTTAAATGTACGTCACAGCGGTATATATGAAGAGTTGCACCATTCGGTCGTCCTTAGTTAATCTTGGTCATCAGTGGGGAGAAAAAATACTATTTACTGTATATTTTCTACATATTAGACTATATATGAAATCGACTAAGTAAGCCTCTGAAACCCCTCTAAATTGTGATATTTTCCGGGGGTTTGGCCCCGTGGACTGCTTTCCAGACATGGTAGTGGTTAAGTTCTATCAAAGACTATGAAATTTGTCCAAAAAAAAGAAAAACTAACATGTACAAATATGGTCATGACCATATTATAGAGGCACATGATGGCATGTAAGCTTAACAGTTGGACCCAGCATATACCGTATTTAGATGCTGCTGTACAAGTTCAATTCTTCAACACTTTATTTGGCAAAAACCAGCACTTATCTCCTAAATATTATGGATTTACGATAAGTTGTAAAGCTCCAATATAAAGACAAAATCACAAAAAGTTTAAAAACACAAATATTGTACAGTACAGTATAAGAAAATAGCACTTAAATTTGAAATACCTTTGTTTTTATATCCACATAATCATATTGCATTTCTGATGAGTTGTCAAGCAATTATAAAGGTGGTAGTTGGTAAAAAATACAAATGCAAAAATTGCACTTTTCGTGGTAGTTGGTATGAAAATATTACACAAGTACAGTAAACGTTAAAATACAAAATATTGAGATGATTACATTACATTAATCATAAACCACTATTTAGCTGGCCTAAAAATGAGTTTGGTTGGTACTGATGTTGGTACTGCTGGGGCCGCATGGCTGCTGCTGCCAACGCCTCTAAAACTCCGATCAGCCGTTCTTGATTTGCTGCAGTACGTCCCATCATCTGGGTCTGTTGTTCCAGTTGATTATCTATTGCTTTCTTTATCTTCCCTAATACCTCCATCTCATCCTTTCTCGCCTCCCTCAATTCTCTCACATTCTCATCGTGCATCGAACGAAGGCACCTATTCGTCTCCCGCATCTGGTTCTGCAAATGCTTAGCAAGTGAGCGTACACTCTGTTCACTTTTTTTGGTAGCTGTTTCATTGCGACATCATGCTGGCCCTGTGACATGAACAAAGAAATTTATAACAGAGTATTCAACTGGAAGCGGTTACTCACTGAAAAAAATCCATTGATACACAGGATAGCAACTGCAATTTATAGCTACAAACCGCTGTTTTGGTGCATGTTTATGACTAAACTACAATTACCTGGGTGAAACACATTCTCATTTTCCTGGGTGAAACACATTCTCATTTTCCTGAACACCAGATGTATGTGCAGGGCTCGGAGGCGTTTGCCGGGCTGGGGTCGATGTCGCCTTTTGTGTAGGGATCAATGTTGCTCGTCTCACAGGGTTGGAAGATGCTCGCCTCACAGGAGTCTCGAATGAGACATCTGGAAGCTTGGAAACGGAGTCCATCACAAATTCAGCCGGAAGTTCATTATGGTCCTCCTCGTACCAACCTTCAAACCCTAAAATAAAAAATATAATTAAAACCCTTAAGTTCATATTTGGCAATACATTGCAAACCCTAAAATAAAAAATATAATTAAAACCCTTAAGTTCATATTTGGCAATACATTGCTATTACAACGAAAAGCACACAACGCATTATCTTTGTTGTTTATTCTCTCTCTAGGGCAGTGCATATAAATAGAATAGTGCAATAATTTACCTTAAAAAAAAGATATAACTTTAATTTGAACAGAGTTTTGTTCTTTCTTCCATACATAAATGAGAATAATTTGTAAAAACATTTTCTATTACAGCAACCCAACATGTGTAATTACAGTAAAATTGATACACACCTAGTACAAGCCGTTTCTTTGGTGGCAGATCACTTTTGTCATCACCTTTGTGAAAAAATTGAAATAAAAAGAAAATGTAACTGTACAGTAAATTCTTTAAAAAAAACCAAACACCCTAATGTCTATTAAAGTCTGGTTTAGGAAAGACATTTGACCTTCAAAAAAATTTGGTGTATACAGTTATACAGCCCCGAAGAGTTAATTGAAAGGCTACATCCCCGAAGAGTTAATTGAAAGGCTTCAATTGCAATAACTGATAGTATTTACCGTCAATAAGACAGTATATGCATTGTGAAATATAGACACAGTGGAACTGACATGCTTCAAGTACAAAACCTATAGTGTCGGTTCAGATTTGATTAAACTGTGCTGAAATGCCGACAAAACCAGTAGGCTAACTAAACAGTAACAGAAACATGCAATTTCCTAAATTACCTTTAGAGCAGCTTTTACAAGTTACAAGGCGGCCATACCCTTCTTCCTGTGAATCTCTAGGCACACTGCATGGGGGAATCTGATGGCAGGGGCGACCGCAATCACCACACTTATGGTCTCCACACGGCATCTTGCAAGTGACACAAATTGATTCTGCAAACAAATTAAATGCTTTACTATTTGGACATGAATGAGAACAATACAGAGGATAATGAAACAAAATATGTGAGGCAACACAACATTAACACATTGTACACTTTTTGTTGAACTTGCATTTTATGGAGAAATAATATAGACTGTATACCAATGTACATTTTTTGAATTGAGCATAGTAAGCATTTTCTTTGTTTCTGCCTAGTAGCCTCCAGTAATACAAGTGAAATTTCTTTTTGTTTCTGCCTAATACAGCCTCCAGTAAATTGCAAAGTTTCTCGAGTCTTACCATGATGACCGCCACTGGAAGTAGATAGTGTGTCCATGGAAGAGTCCGACAATCTCCGTGGAGGTGTATCATCTTGCATTCTGACTTCGGGTTCTGCCCAAATCTCTATTAACTCGCTGATCTCTTCCTCGTTCCAACAGGCCCGAGGGCCAGATCCAGTTGAGAGTGACATTTTAGAGATACTGTATATATTAAAATACACAACCACCAAAACCGCAACAATTCAGAAAATGGCGTTTGTTTCCAAAATTCGCGCAAAAGCCAGCTACTTTGACCCCGGTAAAATGCTTGTCTGATTGGCTTTCACACAAAAGAGGTCACAGATCGCTGGCGACCCGCTTGCAAGCGGCTGTTCACATGGATCAAGAGCGAACTGCATCGAGAGCCGCTCGAGAGCGGCTTGTCGTTGGTCACCCACGACAAAACCGCTCTTGAGCGGTTGTTCACATAAAGGCCCGGCTCGCGAGCCGATCCAAGACATGTGAACGCGGTACATATTGTCAATGTCAAATTCCAAAAAAGTGGCTTCTTTATTGAAGGCAAATAAATGATAAGAAGTATGAAAATGAAAATATAAGTTTAATTAATTCTGTGAAGTATTTTGTCAGACATCATACACATTCTTTTTACTTGATTGATGATTCGCAATCCTCTGATGTGTTTGGCTATGAAGATAAAAACTGCAAACATTATCAGTATGAAAATATATATTATCATATGAATCTGATATGAGCTTTTAATATAGTAAAACATAGGCAGGATATAACATAAATGGAAAAAAAAACACCATACATTTATTACATCATTTTAACAATTCTTCAGCATCTACCGATTTTGCAATTTTGGGGGGTTTTTATGAGATTTCATGGCTACCTGCTGTACACCTTAAATCTTTTTTGATTTTATAACTACATCTGCCATGTACCAAGGACACTCTTTTTAATGCAAAAAAAAGTAAGTGAATTGAACCAGTAGCTTAAAAGATACAGACCATTGAAAATGTACCATTTTTGGCAATTTTTGAGACATTCGCTAAAAATATGCGCAAAATGCTAACGGACCATACACATGGGCCATTATTTGAAAAACGACACTACCATGTGCTCTGGAAAAAAATAGTCATTCCATATACAACTTTATGATATCTATAGAACTAGAAAAAATCAGATACAGTATTGTCTGTTGATATTTTTGAAGTTACGGCTCTCTAAAAACACTCCAGAATGCAATAATCAAAAAACGCCTTTTTTAAAGATGGGACCCCTTTTTTTAAAATTTGAAGGGCCATAACTTTTGAACCCAGTGTTGGATTTTGTTCATTTAAACTGTAAAATGGTCAATATAGTTAGGTCTGTGCATTTAATAACAAACGAACGCATCATAATGAATTTGAATTTTCTCACTGGGATTCCTACATGTAGTATGTGCCTATAGCCTAAGCTAATGACCTTTTATAAGAAATCATTCATTGTTGTGTGTGATTAAAAAATGTCTTGGCCAAAGTAGTGAGTAATGATCTAAACTTTTTCTCTTCTCTTTTCTATCTCTCCGTATCTATTAACACCTAGGCCTTGGCTTCATGCACAACCGGTTGGATACCGGGCCCACCAAAAAGCCTGGCTCCACACAGCGCACGGGGCGCGGACAACTTAGGCCTAACTTATTCTTGATCTTTCGTAATGCTAGGCATAATTAGAGCAAAATGCTGTACCTAGCCATAATAATATATACATATTTAAAGCAATGCTTTTATTTATAAACAAAATTATTGTTTCTATCTGGTTTCGTTCTGGCCGAATGCTTGCATTCTTGTCGCATTTCATTGATTTTGCTGGAAAAGCTGACTCTAAGCTGCTGTAAATATCGTAGGTTTTTTTTCGTTCCACCAAAGAAATTGCTGATTGGTTAATTTAAGCTCTGCTGAGGTTGGTTGGCTGGTAGGTGGCGATATAAATTAAAACCAATGTAAATGCTGTGAAGGTCCAAGTTTACAATGTGGCCCCTACCCGCACAGTTATTAATTTGTAATTAAATTCAATGTTTTTCTTTTTTGCTTTCAGATTTATGGAGAAAAAGTTAGCATGTAAGTGAGACAATTCATATCTTTAGTTTTTCTTTAAAAAATATGATTGTTTCTATCTCATGACCAGGATCCTAACTGATGAAATGGTATGAATTGGAAGGATCTGGTTTGGAGCATATCTACATTTATCCACAGAATATTCCTGTGTATTTAACATACACCTCAAACTGTTTTCTGTTATCAATTTACCAGATGAAATTAATGCAATGATTTGCCAAGTTCTATTCAGTTATTTAAATGTTGTATACTGTATTTTGTCAAAATCCAGTATGTAGGTCCAAACTACAGTAAGTCCCTGTGTGTAAGCTGTTCCCCCTTTAAACTTATAAAATTATATATATATGTAGTCATTGGGACCATTGATCAGAATACCAAGTTAAGTTGTTTCATGACATTGTGTGTGCGTATTGGCTCGTATGGTTCCATCCAGGTTGTGCCCATGAATCATGTTGTGGGATTTTTACAAAAGAAAAAACTAAAATATTTTTTCATATTTTCAGTAAAAGTTAATGGAAACAGAAGAATTACTGGTGTTCTTCGTGGATTTGACCCCTTTATGAACCTTGTTGTGGATGAAGCTGTTGAAGAGAGGGGTAATGAGAAGTATGAGATAGGAATGGTGGTAAGTTTCTAATACAGTTAAACTTGCCTTTGGTTGACTTTGCCAAACTCCTTGATTAATTTCTAAGTCGATCTTATTTTACTTTCCATTAACGATCTCTAAGTCAAATTTTATCTAAGTCAAACAATTTTTCAATGCCATTTTGGATTCAATTAAGCAAGTTCAACTGTATAATATGCAAGCAGAAAATATCAAGTAATTTAACTTGGAATTGTCCTAATTTATTTTTAATAAGAACTGGGGTTGCTGTTTAGTAGCAACCTACTGTTCTTCTATCGTTCCCAGTATGCATTAAGAACTAAGAACTGACCCCAGTATTCTTAGAACCAAATTTAGTCGTAGTTCAAGCTAGAACTTAAACGTCATTTCATATTCTTAAATATAACTTCGACTAGCACTACGACTGAATGACAAGAACCTCGACTAAAGGGATACCTCCGCATACCGATTTATTAGTCAGCCTATGGTCATGCTAAATTAGTGACTTGAAATATTTACCCCACTAAAAACATTATTTTTGAAACTCGCGATAGAGTGAATAGAATAAGAATGATTGTATAAGTAGGTCTGATGTATCTTTGGTATGTTCAATAAAAGAAACATTAAGTTTAGCTTCCAAAAATTGAAATTAACCTGTTTTGCTAGGCACCTGCGATAGTTTTTGATTTGCACGAAATCCCCTCGCATTCCAGTCGCGTAGCTTCACAGTAACAACAACAAAGATGGCGCTGCCCGCGCTCAGGCTCAACTATAATAGTTCTTCAAGGAAAGCAAATTTTCAGAGACTGTTCAAATTCTCTATCGTAATATGTTAACAACTAATATAGTTATTATTATAGAAAATTTATTAAGCGAATGATGGTATAATATGAATTATGAGGTAATACTTTTTTGAACCACAGACAGCAGCTTAATATTCATCCGTGTTACTAGAACTCTAAAACTAGGATTTGATTTAGTTGTAGTTAAAACTTCGACTACGTTGTTTGTGAATACAAATTGTAGTTGAAGTTTCAACTAGGGCTAAATGAAGTTCTAGTTTGAATATCGACTGAAGTTCGTTTTAATAATACATTCGCAAGTTTCGTTATGAGGTTTAGTGAGTGAAGATTTTTTCTTGATTAAATAAATTCTAGTTTTTCAAAGGATTTTAATCCAATATATGGAGATTGTAAGAGCATCTTCCCACTGATCTACAGCTTAACTTATAAATACACTGTACATCTAATACATTTTTTCTAAGGTGAATACTGTATTTGGTAGGCTATATTTTATACTAAAGCATTCTTTGATTTTGTTTTTTTTCATATTAATTCTCTTTCAGGTAATAAGAGGTAACAGCATCATCTTGTTAGAAGCATTAGAGAGAGTAATTTAACACAAGAACGTTGGACAGGACATCAGCATTGTGATAAAGCACATGTCAACAGATTTGCGAGCAAGATTTATAAAAGGTCACAACAACAACTGGACACTGCTGATGAAAGAGAAATGCCGCAAAAAAGTCTTGCTGCAGAATAGGTTATGAATAATCATATCATTAAATGAAGGATACATTTAATATATAAGGATCTAGGTGAAAGATCAGGGAATTGGGCTGCTAGATGTGCTGGATTCATCAATTTGTTGTCCCTGTCTTAGTACTGCAGCATAATGGACTCTTCCTTCAGCAATCCAGCTCAAGAGAGATGACAAAATTCTGAAGATTGTCTTTGTCCTTCTAATCTTGAATTGTTATTTATATAGTATGTTTTGTGATAGCGCATAAGCTTTCACAACGATGGATGTGTGTGCATTATAGAGTAACAGTTGAAATTGCACATTATCTCAAAAACTTTTAGACCTTTCATTCATAATAAATGGTCTTCCCTGTACAAATCATAGAATAATGTGCAGTAATAATTACAGTAGTAGAATTTTGAACTTAAACAAAATTGACTTCAACCTGATTCAATATACTAATTTATAAGCCTCTGTGACCGTAAATATTTGTCCACACTATCAAATTTTATGCGACAAACGAATGATATGCCCATATTTGGGTGTTATACAGTCTGACATCATCATGCATCATGCAAATTTGTAACATGAGATTTGATGTGTGGTCAAAATCATACGGTATGTACTGTATACGGTTAAACTTGCTTAAGTTGAATAATTTCGACAAATTGTTGTTTTCCATTATTTAACAATCTGTAAGTCAATTTTATTTTGTCTAAGTCGAACAATATTTCCATGGCATTTTGGATTCAACTTAGGCAAGTTCAACTGTATTACCATTTACAGAAGAAATTTCATTTAAAAAAATGTACAGAATTTCCAAAAGTCCAAAAACCAATTTTAATTGGTATTGACAAAGGACAGCAGGTAGAACACAATTTATAAATGTTTTAGTCAAATTTGATGTTAATTTGATTCAACTAACTTTAAACATGTTTACAGTTTCAAAAAAATTAAATTTAATAAAAAACAAAACCAAAACATTGGCCATTTGTACTGCCATGATTTAAACTACATGTTAAATTGTCTATACTTGATAAGTGTCTGGAGGAAAAATTGTGTTAAATGACATTTTAAAAATGTTGGTTGAACATATATTCAATTGCAAGCCTGTCAACTGAATATAAGTGAGAGGTAGACCATGCTCCATTGAGTAGCTAAACATGTTTTTACAGTGTTTACTCTATTTTTATGTTTTTAGTGACATTTTTCTGTTAGTTAATCAATACAACAAAACACCTATGTTACTCTAATGAAAGTTAATAAATAAGTTTTTAATTTTAAAATGTTGATGTTTTATTTTATTCTGTACTGAATGTGTGTGTGTTTGTGTTCCCATGGATATGGCATCATCTTTCGAAAGATGCATACTATTTTATATCACTTCATGAGCAATGCTGACTCAACCTGCAGCTAAGCTGCATATATATGTTGCCTTCTGCATTTTGAATGTACTTAATTTTGTTAATGCTGTTAAAGTCAAGTTCTAAATCTTAGTGGCATAAAGCTGGGACCCTGGTTGTCAATTCCATTGTTGGATTTTAGATGTACATGTTCTTTAATCATGTTTATCATTGAACTCTAAATGTTTTTGACAACAAAATATATAATATCAGCGGCAGATACAAGAATTTTAAATGAAATGGGAGTGGTGGATTGACATTGACAGATGGAGGATCTATACCACCTCAGCCCCACCATTGTTGGGCTGAGGTATGAACATTTATGATTTTATCAACTCCGGAAAAGATACTTGAAAGATACTTGCAGACGAATTTGAATACATATATCTCCATTTCAAAAAATAAAATTTGGACAAATTTTAAAAGATGTTGGGGGGGGGGGGCGGGGCAAAAGTCTCTCCTTTTTATATGCGATTTGAAAAATATATATATATATATATATACTGTATATATGTATATATAGATTTATATAAATATATATACACCTGTACTGTATACATTATATCCAATGGTGTATCACAGGGGTGGGTGGGGATATGGATATAATATATATATATTATAATATATCCAATGCATATCAAAGGGGTGGGTGGGGGGAGGCAGACGGTTATTGGTGTGTGTATATAGTTTATTTTATCTTTAACACCACTATCTCAATACTTGACCGCTTTGATCTCCGTGGGATTTCACTTTGTACATTACAGCATAAACTATTAGATAATTGGCCTATAATCCGTCTACATTACTATTATATTGCGCAGTACTGTACAACCTGCAACTGCCAATTTTGTGCATTCAGTGCATGTATATATATATATATATATATATATATATATATATATATATATGCTGTTATGCATTGAGAAAGCCCTTTTGGCTCAGGGTGCTATATCGATGACCCTATTGAAAGAGGTAAAGGGCCCTACATACCGATCATGACCATATTTATGCATGTCACATGCTTTTGTGAAATAAAATTTGATAGTCTGGACAGGGTTTTACCCATTTCACACAGACTGGAGCAGTTTCAGAAGATGATAAAAACTATTATTTATAATGTGTCTGTTAATGTAATCCTTGCATCACTTTCCTGCCTGTGATTGCATATTTTTTATTAAGAAGACTTTCGGAATTACGTTTAAAAAAAGAGAATCACAAGATGTGTAGTGGAAAAATGATAATAAATTTAACTTGGTTCACACTTTCAAATCAATTGACAGTAAAAAAAAAACAAAAAAAAAAACAACAGTGCCCCCTGTGAGGCTCGAACTCACGACCTTCAGATTATGAGACTGACGCGCTGCCGACTGCGCCAAGGAGGCAACTGAAAGGAGGGCGCGCTTCTTAAGTCTTTGTTTCCATTTAACATATTGCGCAATAGCTACGAAATTCTTTTTATCTGCAAACGTATGATTGACAGGCTTAGAAATGAACTGTTGTACAATGATGAATAATACAATGTTTGGGAATCATTCTGCAATAGTAATTCTGAAGATAAACTTATATTTATCCTTGAGGAAACTCAAATTTTCTCAGTCATAATGTTCTACTTAGCTTTGATAGTTTTTGCAAATCTTATCGTGTATGTGTATGTATGTGTGTGTGTGTGTGTGTGCATGTATGTATATGTATATATATATATATGTGTGTGTGTGTGTGTGTATGTGTAT